GAGGGGAGTTATAATAGTGCATTTGTGATACAGCAGTTGATGTTTTGAGTCAAATTTCTATATGCCTGAAAGACTAGAAATCACCAATTATTTTAGAAACTACACAAGCAACATACAGTTGTGGTATTGATCCAGAAGAGACTGAAACAGATTTCTGTATGTGTATGACTGACAGGGCAGTGTGGTCTCAGAGACAAGCTCTGTATGATATCCCCTGGTTGGTGGCATTTATGTTTGGTAATCTGTGGCAGACTTTTATATTGCAGTAGCTTTTCAGTTGTTTTCCTTCTCCCTTTTAGCTTACTATAGCCTCAGCATTTTTATCAAACAGATTCTGTGATCCTTTAAAATTTTTATTCATTATTATTGTGTATGCTTTATATATGATGTGTGTAGGGTAGGGGTTGGTCCAAGGACAATTTTCTTAAGTCAGTTCTTTTTCCACCATTATGAGGTTCTGGGTACCAAACTTGGCTCAGCCAACTTGGAGTGCAGGTAGCTACCTGCTGAGCCATCTCCCAGCTCTGACTCTGCATTTCTATACAACCATGTACAACACTTGCCCTGTTTGGTAGGACTTTGACATCCCAGCCTCCACAGGAACTCTTATTCTCTGGATCATAGAAGCTATGATACTGTTTTCCAGTGAAACACTCTGAGATGATTATACTTCATTAAAATGTGAGATCCTTAAACATGATGATATAGCACCCGTAGTCCCAGTTACTCAAGGAGCAGTGTATTTGGGTAGCAGGATTGATTTAGCCCAAGAGATTGCTTTAGAGCCAGCTGGGATAAAAGCAAAGCAAAACAGAAACATCCTGATTCTTAAGAAGTTACTCCCCTACACAACACAAAGCTAAAGCCCTTCCTAAGCCTCTTACCGGTGTTCCAGTGATGTGATTATGTGTTGATTAGGGATGAGTTTCTTATTAAACTTATTATGAAATTAATTCAGTGTTTAAATGAACCTATCTGCAAGTAATTGGGGTGATATTATAGACATCACCAATCTGCATGAAAGTGCTGAACTTGAGGTCAAAGTATATGCCTAAAATGTCCATCATGAAAAATCACTCAGAGAAATTTGATTCTGCTACGAATTTCTTCTGAATTTATGCTTATATGAATATTGGTATGAAATACCTCTCTATGAATTCATCCACTCAAACACACACACACACACACACACACACACACACACACACACATACACACACACACACACACACACGTCATCATCTGTTATTAGCTGCTCTGGGAATTTAAATGAAAAAACCCAAAGCACTTATCTCACCTTCAAGAAAAGTATTTTTTCTTGGGAGGGTGGCAGGGTGTGATAAGAATGGAGGGCAAGACCTGCTGTTGTTCTGAGGTATTACGCTCATGTACCTTACATGAAATGGCCGTTTTGGTATCATTCATACATTGCTGTCATTTCATTGATGTTAACCTTATCTGTCTTTCTAGAGTGTAAACTCAACAGGGAAATTAAGACCTTCACAGGGCTTGTGCAGGCTTGTGTGTCCATAAAACTTTGGAAATTCTTAGTAGAATGGTCGAAGAGGAATAGAGCGTGTGTAGCATACAGTGTGAAAGGTAAACAAACTGGTATGTAGTTCATCCATTACTCTTTTCGTGTCACAGATACTAGCTTTTGAAAAAAGTAAGCCCTAACAAAGTAATCCTTATTATTATGCAGTTGTTGTTGACATTTGAACAGAATTCAATGTCCAGATTTTATTAGTGTGTTTCATTTCTCCTCCATTTGAGGGTGGCCATTACTGGGCAGGAGGAGGGTGTCTCCTGCTTACCAGAGTTATACTGAAGGAGCCTCACCTAATTTCAGTCTCCCTTTTCACACTCAAACCTGGTAACCACAAGCTGTCTCATTCTAGGGGCATTTGTTTTTTTACCCCACTTCATAGCATGTAGTGTGTCTTTCATTCCTTAGAGATAATGGAGGAGCTAAATGATTGGCTTTTTTCCTACAGTGTTGTTTGATCAGCATATGTATAAGTAGATAATTCTCTTTCAACTCCACTTCGATAAAAGCTAATTTAAAAATTAGCTGCATGACAAAAAACAGTGAGGTGTTATTCTTAAGGGTCTACCTTGTTTCATTAGCCATGTAATTATTTAGTTTCAATTTGAGGTTCAAAGTAGGCATTAAATACAAATTTAAAAATAAAAACAGTTGTTGTAGAGGTAACTCAGTGGTTATAAGTAAGTGCTTGTTGCTCTTCTAGACGACTTGAATCTAATGCCCAGGCTTTATATCCGCTGGCTCATAGCCCATGACAACTCACACTTGACAGGATTTGACATCGTCTTCTGGGCTCTTTGGTTTTGTGTGTGTGTGTGTGTGTGTGTGTGTGTGTGTGCGTGTGTGTGTGTGAGGGTGGGTGGGAGGGAGAGTGTGTGGGGGGTGTGGTGTGTGTGTGAAGACACAGCCTGAAAGTGGGCTACTGCCCTGATTTTTGGCTTTGGAAGTGTGTACTAGTGCAGAACTTGAGATAAACACTAAGCATGCATGTTTTCTCTCTGTGTTCTTGGAACTGCCTCCATTTCCTACCTTGACTCTCTGCAATGATGGACTGGCATCTGGAATTATAAGTCAAATAACCCCCTTTCTCCTATATTGTCTTTTATCATGAAATTTTATCACAGAAACAGGAATGAAAGTAAGACAGACAGAACTCTTAGACTAAGTGAGTATGGGAGGAGATTGTTTTTAGTGCCTGCTATTCTGTGATTATTTCAATGGAGACATTCAAACCCTGATCTCCAGCTTGCCCTATGAAATGCTACCAGAAAAAGGCAACTTTTCCTTGAACTAGTATTGTTGACCCTGGAAACCAGTCCAATCCTAAACTAAATTGACCAATGGCCTGCTACATTTCCAATAGGGAATGGAATTGATTTCCTTTTTTGCCTCATTTAAAATTGTTCCCCCCTCATGCTTTCATATTTGGTTTGACTATTTATATTTTAATAAAATATTTATCACTTTTGTAAGGCAATGTGAAACACCAAAAGCATAACTAACATATTTTGGATGGATTGTTAAACAACTTCTTACTGTTTTGTTGGAGATTAGGCCTTGCCCACACTTGTCCAATGTTTGCTATCTTGGCATCTTGTTCAGCCTTGTAAGTGCTGGGGTGATACTTTAAGGATTTCTTATTATTTTTTATTATTAAGGGACATAAATTGAGACTACAGGAAGCAGAAATCTTAAGTCACCTGATGAATGCTGTGGGTTCTTAAAACTGAGTTGCTGTGATTGTGCAGTAGCTGACCAATTCTTGTCTCCTCCTGGAGGGCAATTTGAAGATATAAACTAATGGCGGGGGATATTGCTTCATGGTAGAGCACTTGCCCAGCATGTATAAGTCCCCAAATTCAGTTCCCAACACACATATATGCATATGTGGATGAAAATACATACTACTAAGAAAGAATACCATATATAGAAATCATATGTTAAAAGTCCAAGGACACTGATAAGGTGTGTTGAATTGATAACCAAAAGGGACGCACTGACATAGCAACTTTCCTTTTCCAGAAAGGGGTGGGATGAGTACAAGAATATTCTGAGCGGCACCGAGATAACATATTTTACAAGGTAGCCCCATGAGGAACAATGAAAAGTTGCTGTACCTGTCACCTGGCTGTGATTGCTGAGTAAAAAGGCAGCTCCAAGCATTTTGTTGACATTATGGTGCTGAAGCTGCATCTTAGACCCATCTTTTTACTTTAGGATATAAACAGCATGGTTTTGAAGAAAGACTCCCTCTTTAGGAAATCAGACCCATGGTATTCAGAGGGATTCAGAGTTCATGAAGTTTAATGATGCAGAAGTCTTTAAGTACAGCACAGGCCTTTTTGTAGTCCCCTGATCACACTCGCCCTTCCTGACCCTTAGGCAAACATCTGCTTTGTTGTCAGAGCACACAGGTGGCTTCTGGTGCAGCATACCATTGCAGTACAAATGCCTGCTTGGTTCAATGCCAGTTGATGTCGTTAATGGTTCCTGCTCACCAAAATCTTCTGAGTCCTTTAGCTCATCATTTTATGACCTATCCTGTGGACCCATACAGCCAAAAGCACATCTCATCCCTATAGTCCCAGGACTGGTTCTAATCTTTAGATACCTTTGGACATAGACATTCTAGAATTGTCTGCCTTTATTGATTTGGAGCAGACTCTTGTTTTTACTCCTTATCTTCAGGAGGAAGGGATCTTCCTGGAAGTCACACATTTCATGTCTCATTCTTCAGGGGTGCTTCCTGTGAGCCATGGGAGTTATCTGTAGGACCAACATCACTTAGAGAAGCCTGTGGAGTAATTGGGAATTTGGTAGGCAAGAAAGTAGTTCTCAACCTCATAGCACAGTGACTGCACTCCTAAAGACTGGGGCCTTGATCACAGCCTTTACGAAATCTGTTTGGGAGCTTAGGGTTTTAAACTTATGTCAGAAGTGATATTGATTAAGTGTTTTCTGCCTCGCCCATTAGCTCTCCTTCTGCTCAGTGCTGCAGTGAAATCACGGTTTGTGCTGTGGGAATCACCGAGGCAATGAATCTAGCACTCATGCCTTTAATACATAATTGAGAAGAAAGCACAGATGGACTGCATGGGAGCAAGCAGTTGTTCAAGCTAGCTCATGTATTTGATAATTAATAAATATAATGGGGGAAGGGAACAACAAATGAATGGGTAGACAGTCTAATTTTTAACTAAAATGCAGTATGAAAATTATCTTGTTTTTAATCTTTAAAAACTCTCTGCACAACATTAAAAGAAAATCTATGTATTTGAGGAAGCTGATGACAACTCATTGACAGCATTCTGATGAAGGGATTTACCAGAATCAGGATCAAGTTTAATTTGCTAGTCAAGGCAGCACAGGTATTTCTATTTCTTGAACATGAACTAAGGTTCAGCAGCTGGCTCTCTTTTTTTGTGGCATCTCCTAGGCGGTCGGCCGTGTGAACATGAAGCTGAATATCTCTTTCCTGGCCACCAGCTGCCAGAAACTCATCGAAGTGGACGATGAACGCAAGCTTCGTACGTTCTATGAGAAGCTCATGGCCACAGAAGTAGCTGCTGATGTTCTGGGTGAAGAGTGGAAGGGTTATGTGGTCGGAATCAGTGGCGGGAATGACAAACAAGGTTTTCCCATGAAGCAAGGCATTTTGACCCATGGCAGAGTGCGCCTGCTGTTGAATAAGGGGCATTCTTGCTATAGACCAAGGAGAACCGGAGAGAGGAAGCACAAGTCTGTTCGAGGATGCATCGTGGATGCCAATCTGAGTATTCTCAACTTAGTTATTGTACAAAAAAGAGAAAAGCGTATTCCTGGACTGACAGATACTACTGTTCCTCGTCGGTTGGGACCTAAAAGAGCTAGCAGAATTCGAAAGCTTTTTAATCTCTCTCTAAAGAAGATGATGTCCGCCAATATGTTGTGAGAAAGCCTTTAAACAAAGAGGGTAAGAAACCCAGGACTAAAGCACCCAAGATTCAGCATCTTGTTACTCCACATGTCCTGCAACACAAACGGCGTCTATTGCTCTGAAGAAACAACGAACAAAAACAAACAAACAAACAACAACAAAAACAAGGAGGAGGCTGCAGAATATGCTAAACTTTTGGCCAAGAGAATGAAGGAAGCCAAAGAAAAGCATCAGCAAGAGACGTAGACTGTCTTCGCTGAGAGCTTCTACTTCTAAGTCTGAGTCCAATCAAAAATAAGTCTTTAAGGATAACAAATAAATAATCACACATTGAAAAAAAAGGTTCAGCAGCTGGGCTATGTCTTTGAAATCCCAATATAGCTGAGCATGGTTCTTGTTTTCCGGGTACATCAAGGTTCTAAGTGGGATCCATGCCTGTGAGCAGAAGCAGTGAGGAAACTCAGTTCTTCCCCATGGTCCAGAAGACATGATCAATTCTTTTAGGCTGGGGTCAGGAAGGGCTTAGAAGAGGCAACTGATGCCTAATCTGAGCCCTGGAGGATTACAGGACCATTCAGGTAGGACACAGAAGTATGGAACAGCATGGGGGATCCAGGGACAAGATTCTTGCAGATAGGAGCCAAGAAAGCATATAGAGGAGAAATGACAGGCATGAGTATAGCTGTGCGAACAGAGAAACATGGTAGAAGAATATTGATGTGGTTAAGAACTAGTAATGGGCTTGGAAACACAGCATGAGTCTTCATTACTTCCAGAAGAGTGAGCTAAGACATGTTAACCTCTGAGAGTCACAGTGTTGGTGTTTAATACATGGATGTAGCAATCTCCAGTTTGTAGTTTTGTTGTTAATGCAGGGTTCATAAATCTGTGTTTCCTAGGATAGTAAATTGTCAGTAAATGAAAGAGATGATTGTAATATCACTACTGATAAAAACACCCCCCACAACACACCCTCTGTGTTTCCTCTGTCTGCCATTCCTGTATTGCTGTTTGAGTACATAGCCAAAGCAAGCTCAGAGATTTAAGCAGCTTTTAAATGCCCTGCCAACAGTCATTTCTCCAATAATCACTGCCATTGCCACATTAATCTATATTTGAGATATAATCAAATTTAAGTGCTCAAAAATTTGTAATTTTTGTCTGTCAGACTGTAGGAAGGAGAGAGAAATATTTGGACATTGTCAGAATTGTTGGCTTACTTAGTGGGATGGTAGTTCTAGTGTCAAACACTCAAGTAAATATCAAGTCCAGAGAATTTCAACTGTGTGATAATATGCTGAGATACCCACTTACTGTTTAGCTTTAGACAAGTTACTTTACTATTCTGCATTCACTCAAGAGATGAGAAGGATGAAGCATACCAAATAAATAACCATAAGCAAGCTTATATGTAAGAACGCTAAGTAATAAAATAGCAATTATCCTCTCCAAGAAAAGAACAATCCCTGTAGGCCAGTTAAGACTCAATAAAACTGTCCAAGTGAGAATTATTTACATAATTCAGATTTTGGTTAACATTGGTTTTGGTTTCTCCAAATGTCCCCCTTACTTCCGTAGTTTTGTTCTATACTTTGGTAGCTTTGTTTTTAAATTATGAACAGTCACAGAGGTGGGAATTAACCCACAGTGGCTTGTTTTTTTACCCCCAGATAGATGCTGTAAGGTTAAAAAAATACAGTTTGAGAGGTTCAAACCAAGAAGAAATTGTTTATAACCTAGAATATAACCTGCTGTTTTATGCAAAAAAATATATCATTTTCTTTCTTGAAGTAAAAGGGGTATTCTAAAAGAAATGCTGGGATTGAGTTTGGCCGTCATCCAGGTCACCTCTTGTTCCATTTGCTGTAGCTCCCTGTTTCTCATCAGGAGGCATGTTTAATTCTATCTACTGTGTGAAGACTTTACAAGAAAAAAAAAACCACACAATTGAACAGTTATGCAACCATTCTTGACTAATCTGGGGGTAGTCTTGTGTTTGAGTTCTCTCTGACTTGTCTTCAATGTTACTGTGTGAAAGAGATTATCTTACAACGAGTCAAGTCTATTTTTCCAATTATATCACAAGGTCCTGAGAACAATTACTTAACTTTTCTGAAGATGCATATGGATTTTATTCTTCCTTAAGGCTGTCTAAACCTAGACATAGTTTAACTTAGACTCGATGTTCTCCCAGATTGCAGATCTTGGACTTGTCTTGTTTCTATGTTCCTTCCACATCCAAAGCAGTGTGTTGGCAGCAAGCTGAGCCATTGATACTGATAAGCATATTTATGATGCTTCTGAACACTCTTCTTCTGAAAAGTAGAGTTTCTTATGCATAGCCTGTGCCCATAAGTCACCCTTATACCTCCCACTCCATAAGTCAGAAGAACATCTGGGAACTAAAATAGGTAATGGAAATCTTGCCTCTAAAACTTACAAATATAAATTATACTCTGTCCTCCTAGATATTGTGAGTTATTGGTGCTTTAAATTCATGTTGTAGGTTCTAGGTGAAGTAGAATAAGAATATCTCAGAAATTGTTTCTAGAGCTTAGGAATGTCTTAATGGAAGACAAAGGATACCATGATTATACAGATGACCCATGATCAAATGAGTCGATGCTATACTGCACTGGCCCCCACTCTTGCCCATACTTATATGTGACTTGCAGCATCACCCTGAATTTTAAGGATTGCATTGATAACATATCAGGAGGAAAAAAACACACACAGTAATTGTCTGGTTTCTACTGTGTAACTGAGAAGGAGAGACATCCTCTTGGCTACTTGCCTACTCACTTCTTTTTCTGGTCTTTACTTCCCATATACTAAAGAGCAAATGTTCACAGTCCTGTTTCAGAGCCATGGACATGCACACTGGTCATTGAGGGACTTCATAGTCATGCGGTCCTGAAAATACACAAGAGACTTCCCAGGACTGGGATTTGATGTCTGGAGAATGTGTTCAAGTCACATTTGTTTTTTTAGTTCAAGCAAAATTCTTTGAGCCATGCAGGCATTTGTGGGATGATACTCTCATCAATGGTTGTGTGAGGTAAAGATACCAAACTGTGTAAAGTTTAGACAATTGGTATTGAGTTCCCCAAAGTGTGATCCTTGTCTGTGACCTTACACTTATCAGGGCCACTAGTTCCTCATAGGCTATTTAATACTTTTTATTGATTCTGGATGGTATGAATTTTATTAAAGCAATGAGAATCCAATGGAGGATTTTAAGCAGGAGAGTGACATGAACTTAGCAGTCAAGAGAAAAAAGGAAGCTAAGAATGTCTCTGTGCAATAGTGTAAGGCTTCTACAGGAGGGTTCATGAGAGAAACAAGAGGCAATGTCAGTGTGGGAGTGGCCATGGAGGTAAGAAGGGATTGGGAGGGTTTCAGAAGCCTTGGGGTAGAGGGATAAGAGGGGTAGAGGCAAAAGGATTAAGAATGGAGGTGAGTGAGCTGAGGGTCTCAAGGATAATGTTTAAGATTCAGGATGCAGGTATATCTGAAACAGGATGCATTTCAAGGTCAACAGGCTTGAATTTCCTTTCACTATGAGTTCATTATCAGATGAAATAAAGGCAAAGAGATTTTGATATGGTCAATGAAGATTTGTTTGTCTCTGGAGGTCAGAAGAAAGGTCTGTGTCAGAGCAATCAGAACTGACAGTAAGATGGTGTGTCCACAGACTCCCTTTATCCCCATCATGGGCTTTTTTAAAGGTGAGCCAGGCATTTCTTTAGAAGCATTTCCTTAGTTTATTTTGTAGTTTTCTTACTTTTCTCTTTCAGTCAAAATTTACCAACCATATTCCCACTGCTGTATTTGGTTTCCCAGAATTTCCTTCTATCTAATACTATTTTAGTGTATTATTTATCTTTTGTTTGAATAAAACATGATTATGAAGCATGGTATCTGTATTCGTTTTTTTCAACATCCTTATAGTTCTTTAACTGCAGATACAGTTATGTATTTGTGTTCCTATTCATATCATTGTAAGTGTGGTTTACGATTCTTGTAGATCTCCCCAACTCCTCTGCTATAACCAGCTAAATGACCTTGAGCAAGCCACTGCCCTTATTTGCCCCTCATTACTAATAATACAATCTTCTAGATTCATTCCAGCCTTATCTATGAAGAGTAAGTCTGAGCAATCTTAGGGATAAGGATGAGAGAGGTCTGTTAAAAAGTTTTAGCTCTTAGGAGGCACTGGATCTTATGAAATTATTCAGGATGCAATAAAAGGGATTTTATAAGATCTTTCTCTCATCTTTCTACATATATACTCAAAGACCTAAATTGCAGCTAAAATGAAGAGATGGAGGTTAGTAACATTCCCAGAAGCAATAAGCAGTGCTGTATTCCACTGGAAAATTCTATCATTCTTTTTTAGAAAAGATAGAGGTTTATATAAAAATGGAGAAAAAGGAAATTGCATGTGCAGATGTGAATTGCCATCTGTGCTTCTGGATCTTCTCCACGCTCCACACCTTCAGTGAAAGAAATTGTTGATTGAAAGCTCAGATTCTGCTAGCTAGTGTGGTAAAGCTTCCTGTGTTGCTTATCAGCGATTTTAAAAATAGATGGCTCTGAGTGTGTGAGTTAATTTTTAGCCCCATTGTTCCAGTCTCCTAACTCAGGAAGCATGTGGTTAGTGACCCCACACTTTCATTCCTACCCAAAGTGATTAATAATACTGAGAACTTGCAAGGTGCCCTCAGCAGACTGGGCCCTCTGCCTTAACTCAGGCTTCAGACTGTGAATACCATCCTTTGCCTCCAAGTGCAGCTTGTGCCTATATAATTTTTTGGACTGGAGCACAGCTCTGTGTGTTTCTTTGAGGAACTCAACCATTGGCAAAAACACAAATATGCAATATCATGAAGTTAGACACTTTGATCTTAATGGTGTCAGTACCAGATCTGAGCCCAGGCCCAGGCCCCCTCTAATCTATGTTGCCCCTCACCATGGAAATAGAACTACCCCTGTTTCAACATAACTCTTTATTCTGATCTTATCTCCAGGGCTGGAATTAAATATTTGCTTTAAGTTTGGATAAACTTTCTTTATTTTGATGTAAAATGGACTTTGGTGTGTTTTCTCTTTTTTTTGATGTTCTGAGCATTATATCTTTAAATGGTATTCTTTTATAGAGAAATTACTGGAAATAACTAATGTGGGCCCTGAGCCTAACCATTGTAACTGCAGATAGATCTGAATCTCCAGACACCAGTACACCAGTAGCTCAGGAAAGCGCGCGCGTGCGCACACACACACACACACACGCCTCCT